ATATTCTTAACTACTGTAATTTTTTTAATTATTGTATTTATAATTTACTACGGTATGATTATCACTTTAATTTATCATTTTTCTTCCATTTACCTCCGCAAAGCTCAAAAGATCCCGAAATCGCAAGAGTAGTATATTTCTTTAATATTAAGAAAAGAAAAAAATCCTTGGGAAAAATAGTAACTTCTGATTGTTCTTGGTCTACAATTGCTCTAGCCATTATTTAACATGAGGCACAGCAACATGATTTTCATCACAGAGGCACTTCATTTAATAAAGATCTAACCAGTTTTTAGAGAACAAGAGGAAAACAGACATAAGTATTTATCATTTACCACATTTGAAGGAATTTTACAATTAGCAACTGATACGGAGACATATTTTTAAACTGTTAAGGAGCATTCTTGGTGAAAAACATCATGATTTCCATAAGAGTAGTGAGTTCCTGGGTTTGGCGCTGTAACCTGTTTATTAGGAAATAATACTGAGGAACAGTTTTTAAATAAACAAGTCACCTTCGAAACGCATTTTATGCTACTTTTCTTAAATATCTGCACAACTAAAAATGTTGGACTCCTAATATCGTGTAAATTCTTTGCAACCTCAATACAGTACCATGCTGAACAAACAAGGTTTATTTAAACCCCTTTCAAAGGTTTTTTTTTATTATTCATATATATATAATATACACACAACAAACGAGAATGAATTCAAGTAAATTCGTAAAGCAATATCGTAGATTTGCATAAATCACTTGGTACATTTTATTAAATTAGTCACTTTTTTTTGTTGAAAAAGCTTTAAAAGTTAACAGCTGTTTTTACAAGGTTATAAATTCATGATAGTGACAAGTTGTAAAAATTCCTTCATTGCTTAGAGTTCTGAACAGGAAGATATCGCTTGAAAGTTTACATCTATCATAGTCTCTTGGAGTCCTAATATCGCGTAAATTCTCTGCAACCTCAATACAGTACCATGTTGAACAAACAAGGTATATATATTGCATACAATCGGCAATATTTCCTTAGTGGCATTATTCTCTATGCTCTAGCTCTCCCTGTTTAGAGCAAATAATAATTTACAGAATTCTATAACACATAATTCGAATACAATTACCGAACTTAAATATGATTTTGAAAACTCAAATATAATAAACGTATGCACATCAAATAATAAAATTGTCATTGCAGTATTTATTATTGTGCACTGACTATTGCGAGGCGAAAAAGTAACCGCAACATCTGTTATCAGTTAAGATACACAGATGTCCAGGAAAATTTATAAAATTTTAGACAGTATCTGTTGAAAACCATGTGTTGTCACTTGCGGACCTCTAGGGTTCCGTGGAATCCTAGGATTCCATTGTTAGGCTGAAGGGGTTCTATGAATGTGACTTTTATCTTTTTTTAACCAGTAAATATTATGAAACGTGTTACTATCAAGTAACCTGTAACTTTGTATCGAAACAATAATTATTAGTATAGTTAATATTTCGGTTATTTTTATGATATAATTTATAAGAAATGGCAATGGAAAAAAAGAATATGTCTTTACAAATACTGTTTAAATGAATTAATTTACAAACTTTTCAATTCAAAATAAGTAAATTCAAGAATAAAGAATTATATTTCTGAAATCATTATATTCATTGAAATCTTTCTGTTTTGAAAAACATGCTAGCAATTTGAAACAGTCCCTTTTCTGAAACCATAATTTAATTGATACATTATTCAGCGAATACAAATTCAGAAGCCGCACCAGATCTATGAATTCAACGGACTGATATTTAAAGCAAAATCTCGGACTGTTATTCTTAAAACATTACAAAAATTGGATCACGCAATAATTTTCAACGGGTATCAAAATATTCTTTAAGTTTTTGTATTTTATAATTTTATGCTCTTATTTTCATTTTCAGTTTAGCACAAAAAAGCGTTTTGTTAATTATGTATAAGTACACTAAAGTAAGTTTCATATCAGGATCAGATAAATAATACGTCTTAATATTAGGGGGACCGGAAAGTAATATCGTTCAGGCGCATTAAATATTCGTTAGTCTTAAAAATAAAGAAATTTTTTTTCGATCCATTTTGATTCATTTTCGATCCGGCATTGAAAGGTTGTTGCTAACGAGGGTGAGTACATTATTGATTAGAAATAAAATCTTGATAACAAATATCAAATGCACCGAAACGACATCATTTTCCGGTCCCCTTAATATTTGTAGTTTGTGTATTGGCTTTATTTTATTTTACTTTTTATCAAAAGCAAATATGCATTGCATTTTTAATTGAAATACACTGACTCAATTATAACATTACAAGTTTTACTAAGTTTATATATTATATCGATTATTTTAATTTTTATTGAACTCAAGTTTTTACATTGTTGTAAAAAATTTCATTAAGTGTTGCGAAAAATTGCATCAAGACTACGTTGATTTTGCTTCAAAACTATGATAAAAATCATAGAGTTTAAGTGATCAACAATTTTAAATAAAATTTTCGTTGGAACAATTAAACTGTAACTGTAGAAAAATCTTGAAAAAAAAAAAGATTATAACTTCTACTTATATTCCTTTCAAGTTTCAACTCTCAAGTATAAGGAACTATAATTCTTTTCTTTCTTATTTCCCATTTGTAATAAAAATGCATGGAGAAAAGAATTCTGGAAAATAACCGTGCTATATAGTAATGACATTGTAGGCGAAATAAATAAATAATGGGGAAAAAAACACAATTCTTTTAATAAATCCCAAAATATATTGTATTTAAAGTTTGCCCAAAATTTCTTGTATTGCATTTAAATATATTGTATTATTTATGTATATATTGTATTTTCCGTTTCTATGGTAACTCTGACTTGAAAATCTGGTTTTTGAAATTATAGTTCTTATTACCATACATTTCGTGAAAAATACAGAACTCTAAAGAGAATTTGACCGAATGAATGGTTTTTAAGCCATGCTCTAAGTACCAATATTATTTATTTTTTTTAATTTTAACCTTCAAAAACTGAATTATGATAGCTTTCATTTTAGACTGTTTTTTTCTTTATAGAGCTATTCAATATTACGTAAGCATATTTTTGACTATGTTGGGCTTCCCCTCTAAGCAATCAGTTAATTATAAGTCATGCTTACGTAATGTACATGCTTACGTAAAAAAGTCATAAGCCCCTTGCTTTTTGCTTCAACTATGCTTTCGCTTTTCGAAATTTAATTTTAAGACATTTGTGTTTAAATTCAAATAAAAGAATTCCCTTTGCATGAAACAAAATTTAAATTTTACTTTGTTTTACAAAGTTGAACTCTTAGTAGAAATATTTTTCCAATTTTTTTCCCCAATGTAACGTTTATTTAAAATTTCTTTAAGCGTAATTTTTGCTATTTTTTTAAGTTAAGAAAACGAATGAAATAACTTTAGGGTCTTACTTGAGCATCCTCTACGTTCTAAAAAATTCCGAATCAAATTACGATAAAAAGTACAGATACTTTGGTTGCATCATCCGTAAAATCCATTTCATTGTGAAATATATTTTTATTGAGAAATACTTTACCCTAATTTTTGCAGTAATATTTATTTAATTAGAATGATTCAGTGGTTTTGAGGTAATTAATACTGTGAAAATTACTATATATCAGATTTTTTGTTCCGTAACATGTTCCAAAAAAAAAAAAAAGAATTCTACGGTAAAAAGTGCTGGCACCCTGAGTGCCAGTACTTTTTACAGTAAATTGATCCGTAATATTCTTACAGTATATTTCTCGACTTTTCATCTAAAATTAAGAAAAATCACAAACTTTCGCATCTCTTTATGTATTTACTTAATATTTGAACGGCCTTTTCCTAAAAGTGTTGAAACGTGTCATTTATTTACATCATCTAAGTTAATTTTACCAAATTCCAATAACCGGATAAAATATAGGCAAAGAAGGAAAGAAAAAAGTTCAATTAAAAAATTCAAAAGGTATGAAACTTCAATTATGCTTTGAACTTCGTCACATTATATGGAAGAAAATTGCATGGTTTTTAAAAAATGCATACATAATTCAATTTTTTTTTTAATTTGAATCTGTTTGTCAGGTTTAATTTATAGCAAATTTTAATCAACTTGACTTTTTTCTTCTCGCGCTTGGATTATTTTGAAATTCTTTGTAACAATTTTTAATATTTAGCAAGTTAAGGTAGATTTTTAAAACATTTTTTCTAATAAACTAGTTTTTTTAAATTGCAAGACTATCAAAGCCTTTAACGCTTCAAATATTTCTCAAAGATTTTCTGATGAAACTGTGCTGAAATGGATTTGTGTAATTCTTTGTACTAATTGGATTTGGTGAAATTCTTTGTACAAAAAGTCCTCTAGAATAATTTTTCTTAGCTCGTGAAAATAAAAATGGATATGTGAATGAAAAAGTATTAAACAATGAACAATTACTTTGTATCAAAATAGCTTAATTTTGATATTCGTCAGGATAGAAGCGAGATTAATCAATATTCATTTTCAGCGCTTTAGTATTTTTCTTTTCTTATTCAATGTTAACCTGTTTAATTAAAAAAAATCTGAGAGAAAGAGAGATTTTGCCATTGCATGTTCAAATGTAAATCTGCATCAGATATCTTATTAATTTTAAAAGTCAGAAGCAAATTTTTTAAACTTTTTTTATATGATGCATGTATTGTTTTAAATTTTTTATACTATTAAAACCATGTATAAAGTTTGGGGAAAATGCTTTCAAGTCTTTTAGGAGTCAATTTAAAAATATTTAAAAAATTGAAAATTTTATGTTCCAAGTTCATGGTACATAAAAATACTGAGCATATTATTATTATTATGGTATTTTTGGATATTAATGTTTAAAAAATTTCTAAAATTAAAATTTTCAACATTTTTTCTTTACTTCATTTTTAAATATTATCTATCTATCTATCTTATCTACCTATCTATCGAAGTTTTTCACTTTTCCGTGAAACGATGGGGATTATAAACATGTACCGGCAACAGATGAGTACTGAGAAACACATGTTTTAAAGTCAATTTCAACCCGGATCTTCTTATCATTTCAAGAGAATCCTGGACCAGTTCATTCTTTCATCTCTATTCAAGAAGTCACTTTTTTCAACAATCGAAGATTTGCAAAATCAAACCCAGATGTTGAAATTGTTTGATGTTGCCGACTTCCAGTCACTTTTGTCACCTTTTCAATCGATAGCCAACTCTCAGGTATATAGTTCGATGCATGAAAAAACGTCATCAGCATTTCAAATTAGGAGAGGATAATTGGATATAACTCAAAAATGGGCGTTATCTTACTAGTTGTGGTCGTCAGGCACTTTTTTCCAAATTTAGTTCCAAAAAAACGTTACGATATGGATTGTAATAATTTTCCCGTAGTTAACCAATTACTTAATGATCAAGAAAATTTGAATTATGATTTGTCACTTTTCGAGTCTGTTTTAAACAATTTCATGGAATCGAAGAGGAATTCAAGTAACAGTTTAGCGTCGACGACGTTTGATTTGTCTGCGGCGCAAAATAATAATTTAAATTTCATGGACAATCAGCTGTCGTTAACAAATTTAAATTTCTATAATCAGTCTGTGATTGATGAATCATTGAATGAACAATTAGTGTTTCAAGATAAAGACTCGAGTAAGTTTCTATTTGAGTGTTTAGAAAATTATCTTTTCGTGATAAATTAATAAATGGTGTTTGTTAAATTAGTTAGTAGTTGGTGAGCAGTTTTTTTTCGTCACTTAACCTAATAAGACAATTTATTTCAAGTTTAAAAATTATTTATTGAGTGACTCATTTGCGACTTTTTTACCAAGTACTTGTTATTCAAATGTCTTGATGCTTAACTTTTTGAAGCCTATTTTAATGAACAGTAGTTTTTTTTTTTTCAATTTATGAGTACGTCTTAAGAGAAAATATAATATTAGTTCTTTTAAATATTGAATGAGTTTGTATCTTTCANATATATATATATATATACTCATTATATACTATTAGGGATATATATATATATGTAATGGTATTTAATAAGTCTTTTTATTTTTAATGATTATAATTTTAATATTTATGCAGCAGTATATTGCAAACCAATCTAGAGAGATTTTACTCATTTTATATTTTCAGATCTCTTTAACTGTAATTTTGTAATTTGAGCCAAAATATAATCACTGTAAGACAGTAAATAAGCTTAGAAATTGATTTAAATAAGTTTTTTTAGAATAATAAGGTACTATCATAGAATATTGTAAAGTAAAAAACAACTCTTTAAGTTTCAAGCTCTTAGCATAGAAAACAATCAAAATCGGAAACATAATAATAGCAAAATAGAATAGGAAAAATAAGTATTTAAAATAAACAAGTACCTTTAAATTAGGATTTTATAGGAAAACAATACCTTTATGTCTTTTATTAATTTTATACCGATGACACCAAAAAAAAATATGGATATTAATGTGGGAAAATTCGATTCTATCATGTGATTTTTTTTATCCAACAAAATTGCACCATTAACAATTGAAAACTGTATAATACTATTATTTTTCATGTTATATAGCGATATGAATACCATGTGATAAATGCCTATTTTTACCTGTATTTTGTTTGAATTAAAAAGAAATTAAATTTCTACTCAACTTTGAGTTTGAAAAATTAATTCAATTATGCCGTTTTTTTATGTGCTACCAATAGGGAGAAATGTAAATGAGTATTTACGTTAAAAGTTAATATCAATCTTTACATTTATTTGACGCGTTTAATTGGCAAATTAAAATGAACCTTATTTAAGGAAAATCATTTATTTTTCACGTTTTTAATCCTAGACGAAAGGTTTTTGCAATTTTGATAACTTATATTAGCCACCTGCATATTTTTAGAACACTTTTCTTCAGCACTTAAGCTGTTAGTTTAGGGATCCTTAAGGACATTTAAAATTTCCTAGCCGTTTCGTCTGTTTCTATATTTTTTATAATTATTTTATATAAATGTTTTTTCATAGACAACGCATGCATTAATTTGGAACATTTACTTTTTTAAGAATTCAAATGATTTTTTTTTAGTTCGGAAGTAGCAAATAAAATATCTTAAAAGGTGCTAATAAATTATAGAGATATGCATGAATGTGCAGTTTATTAATCAAAACAATCAGATTTTTATTCTAATTTCTGAATTTTATATTTCAGTTTTAATTTTTTTAAACGCAAATCTTAATATTTTTGATCAAGTTTTAAATCAAAACAGCTTATTCCCACCAACATTTTTCGTATACGAAATGGAAATAACTCGAGATTAATTCAAGGTAAAAATTTAGCTTTTGATATTTTATAACCTACTTTTAATTTTACAATTAATTAATTTTGTAATTGATAACCGTACCTGAAAGCTATTAGTAAACGGAAAAAAAAGCTTCTTATGTTTACCTGTAGCCTTACCTTATTGAACATGACTACTCATATCAATATAGAGAAGCAATTTTAAGAAATGCCTCGTAAACCCGTTTTAATTTAAATAAATAATTAATACTTATTAACTATTATCATATTTTCGAAAAATTTTGTAGCAAAATATGAGAAGTATTTTTTTTTATTTTATTACTTTAATGAGTCTTTTAAAAAAAATGCTAATTGTCAACTGTAATAATTAAAAATAAAAATATCAAAAATTTAATAATTAGTCATGAGCAATTAGTGATTATACTGCTAATATAACTATTTTATAATTATCAGCAGTGATTACAAAAACTTAATAATTGTTATTAATAATTAATTAGTAATTATATATTACTTCATTATTTTATCTCATTAAAAATTAGTTTTTTAAAAAAAATATCTTTATTAGTTTCCATGTTTTGAATATTCTGGTATTCTTTTGGGATTAGAAGCACATTCATTTCAGAGAAGTGACCGTTAATTTTTCAGCCAATCAATCACTGTTTAATTCATACACAGTAATCAATACTAAATATTTAGAAACTTCATAGATTTATTTTATCAAAAATATATTATTTTAAAATATTTCCCAAGCATGAAATCAAGAAACTCTTAATGGTTGTTTTGGATTTCACTCTCTTCTAAGATTTTAAATTTCATAAATTTCTAAATCTTCCCTGTGTCTCTGAAATTAGTTAACATTAAAATTATTGTACAATGTGCAAAAAACAAAATAACTAAATAAACGAACTATCTTGAATGACTTTTGTTCTATTGATGGTATCTTCTTGTTCTAGGACTCATGCTTAATGGTTTGAAGGCGTGACCTTAAATATGCTACTTAAGCAGTGCAGACGATATTTTAATTTGCTAAACCAGACACAAAGGCGTACTTTCTCTTAATAAACATATTTTTATTTTTTAAAAGTAATCGAAACTCTAACACCCGAAACATAGAGAGTAGCAGCAATCTGGGAAGTATGACCCCAATAGTTTGATTCGGGGAGCCGTCAAATATTTTAACTTTTTAATGCTAATTTACGTATTGCTTCCTATCTCGAGGACTTTTTTAAAGAACTGAAAAAAAAATTCACGCGATTATATAATTCGCTTATCCAAGGATAATTCTTCACAAAAAATGACTTTCAGTACATATTTATTAATTTTTATTATTTTAGTTGAAGTAGAAAAAATTGTAAATTAAAAGGCATGCAGTTTTTTACATCATTTTAAAGAATGCAGTTTTACATTTCAAAATACAAAACCTGAATGAAATTGATAGAGTAGTTCCTAAAATAATGTAAAATTGTCATGTAATGTCATGTAAAATTACATTCTTTACAATGTTGTTGAAAATTGTATGTCTTACAACTCAAAATTTTTTTCCGACTATTATTAAATAAAATAACAAAAAATAATAAATATTTACTATAAGTTATTTTTTTGTGTTGAATTATCTTAGAATAAGCGAGTTTTATAGTTGTGTGTGAAAAGTTTTCCATTCACTTAAAAAGTTCGCGAGATATGGCGAGATTCTTAAAACAAAATTAACATTAAGGGGTCCCAAACTTTGGACTACTCTCCTGACCAAACTATAGAGACCATATTTTCCAAATTGCAGCTACTCCCTACATTTCCAGGATCAGAAATACGAATCAGTAGAAGTAAAGATACGTTTATTCAGAGAAAGTACGTTTTTGTGTCTTATTTTGTGACCTAAAATATCGTCATCACTAATTAATTAGCATATTTGGAGTCGCACCCTTGAACTATTAAGATTTAGTCCTAGAACAAAAAGATCCAATCATTAAACCAAAAGTTATTTAGGGTAGTTCATTTATTTTTTTTTACGCACTGTAAAATGCTCATAATAAAAAAATAAAAAATCGAATTATAAAACGTAAGTATGCAAATTAATTCAATCGGATGATATTTATAGCACTAAATCAGACCAAGAAATATAATTTATTTACATAAATATGCCGAAAAGGATTTTTAATTTTCCAAAGAAAAGTTTCCACAATTTGAAACATATTGTTTTAGCTATTTCTTATTTCGTTACACGAAATCTAAGCGACTCAGAAATTATCAAGGCATTAAGAAAGATGTACTGGAAGTACAATAAGATGACAAAAATAAATTTTACATTCAATAATTAGTTTGAAAATTAATAAATGTTAAACTTTAAAAAAAAAAAAATAAATACCATAAGGTTCACTGTATAGGCCGCAGGAAAGCAATCATAGAGTTGACATTCGTCATGCTTAATAAGCCATATTTGTTTATGAATTTAACTTGGAGTTTTTTATTGTTTTAAAAATTCCAATTTATTCAAAAATCATGGCAATTTTAATTTTTTTTTTAATTTTGAGGTATATTTTGTTTTACTTCGCAAAATCTATAAGACCTAGAAATAAGATATGGAATTCAATGGATTAAAAAAATTAAGATTCGATTATTATAATTTGAGAATTATCACCTATTAAGATTGAAGTAAACAAAAACTGTTTTGACCGATTTACTGTCCGATGAAATGCAACTACGGAGTTGAAATTTGATGTGATGAATGGGTCATTTTTAATGATAAATGATATTACGAGATTTATTTTCTTAAAATTCAAATTGTTTCGTAAGTAATTGAAATTTCAAATGCCTTTTTGTAATTTTTTTTTTAAATTAAAGATTAGTTATCTATTGTTGACGAAGGATTTAAATCTCTCAAGATTTTTACTTTACAAGCTCGAGCTAGACTTGATGCCAGAAATAAGAAGAAAGAAAAATTGGTAAATAAAATTTACAAGTACACAAAAGAGATTAGATGCTGCCCCTTACAAATCATAACAATCACATAAAAAGCATTCTGTACAACAACATTTTAGCACACTGTACTACAAAATTTTGAAAACATATGGATGAACCTTGTTTGAAATTAAATGACTTGTCTACGATAAGCACATGCAAAATTATTGAACTTGGATAAAATAAGGTTCATTACTTTGAAATAAGTGTGTCAATGTTTAACACTGACATTTTAGAATTTGTCATTTTAAGCGAAAATCGAATTTAAGTTAACGAAACTTTTTTTATTTATTTATTTCAACTTTTGATGCTTCTCAATATTTCGCAATTTAAATTTTGTTTATTTTGAACAATTACTTGTGGTATAATAAATAAGAATGACTTAGAATCATGGTTACCTGTCATTTTTACTATAAATATGTGTATTTTGTTAAATATTTATCATATCGCGTAATGAGATCTAAATTTATACTTGTTTAACGCTCTAATTCCAGTGTTATATTAGTTAGTTTAGTTATAATACTGACAAAGTAGCTAATAATCTCATTTTAAGTGAATATTCCATTAATATTACCAGAGAAAATACAACCTTAGCAGCAGAAACTTTGACGAACTTTTGGACCCAAATTTTTTAATTTCCTTTTCTAATAAATTAATTACAAAAACCTACTTTACTATTTATTGTAATATTCTAGCTTATAATGCGTCTTATACTTTACTATCGTATGAGTTATATAAATAATAAGTAATAGCCGTGACTTGATGTCTAAGGAAATAAGTTTTTAACTACTTTGGAAATGGTCTTACAATGTTCCATTATCAATTCTTCTCACTTGTCAAAATCATCATGCTTGTTGTAGATTAATTTATGTATTTTCTTTTCTTAATAATCTAATGATGACAGATGATTTTCAGAACGAATTTAAAACAAATTTAGAATTTTATCTAAAAGTGTGTTGACATCTAAAGAACTGACTATGAATAAGAATAATATATAATAGCTGTGTGGTGATGTCTAATGTAATAGCTTTAAGCTAGTACTGTACTTTGGAATGCTCCTACAATGTTCCGTGATAAATTCCACAAACCTGTAAAAATCATCACGTTTGCTGTAGATAAATATATGTATTCTCTTTTCTTACTATTCCTAAGATGGCAGATAAGTTTCAAAATATTTTAATAGTTTAGAAGCATTTGTAAAAGTGTGTTGATGTCTAAGGAACTAGCTATGAATAATATAAAATAGTCATGTGTTGATGTTTAAGTAAATAGTTTTGAACTAGTGATTTGGAATGCTCCTACAATGTTCCATGATCAATTTCACTCACCTGTCAACATCGTCCCAATTGCTAAATCGGACTTATACATTTTCTTTCCTTAATATACCTATGATGACAGACAGGTTTCCAAAAATCATAAATAGTTTAGTTGTAAAACAAAAGTTTGAAACTAGACAATATATACACTTCGCAAAAATAGTAAAGGCTAAGAATATAAAATGTTCAACCAAAACACAGTTTAGCTTAAAAATGGTATTTTCAGGAATAAAAATTTAATATTTCGTGATACGAAGATATATTCCATTTAAGATTACAAGTTATATGGCGTAGAAGTATAGAAAAAGATAAACTTCTACGTCTAAAATAGCATGTCTTAGGGATCAGATTTTCATATAATCAGTTTTTATAGTTAAAGGTCCAAAGTTAATATACAAACGTTACTTAATACCATGAAACATTTGATTCTCGGTTCCTAATTGTTCACATATATAGTAAATTAATTATTTGGCTATAATTATTAAATTTAATCTATGGGCTTAGGATAGTGTACTAAGTTTGGATGGTACAGTATTGAATTTTGTGCTGGAGATTTAGAGGTATTAATTTTTGGATTTGAATGATGATAAATTTTTCATAATTCTAAACACACAGTTAATTGGTTTAAATAATTCCATAATAGAGTTTAATCTTTTATAAGCCCAAAGGAAAATTATTCTTTGATCATCTTTAAGGTTTAGGTTCAAAGTATAGTAAAAAAAATTTAAATTCTTGTTTAGCCCAAGGAAAGATTATTCTTTAATCAGTTTCCTATGTCTTGGTTTAAAGGATATGGAATTTTTTATATTTTTTCTGCTGTGCAGTTAGTAGGTCGGAACAGAACTCCATGATCAAGTTAAGCCTTTTTCAAGTCCAAAGGAAGATGATTCTTTGATAATCTTTTAAACTTTAGGTTCAAAGGATAGGGAATTAATTTATGATTCTTGCTGTGCAGTTAGTAGGTTTGAACTAAACTCTATAAAGAATTTTAGCCTTTTCTCTTCTAGGTTCAAAGGAAGATTCCGGCCTAGTGAAGAGCAACGGTGGTGCAGGCGGGGAGAGCGGAGGTCTTCAGGTCCTGGATGGCCTGCACAATTCCGGGGGCCATGGGGGAGCCCCCAATACCAGTGATGCCCCGTCCAACGACAAACCCCTCAAACAAAAGAGGCATAGGACTCGCTTCACACCCGCACAACTTCAGGAACTTGAAAGAAGTTTCTCAAAGACACATTATCCCGATATATTTATGAGAGAAGAATTGGCCATGCGTATAGGACTCACAGAATCCAGAGTACAGGTTAGATTTTTGTTTACTACTGTCGATAAAAAGCCTAATAAATATCTTTTTCTTTTTTTTTTTAAATGAAACTAGAGGGCTCAACTCAACTGCTCCCTCCGCTTACCATACCCCGTTATTACTTCAAATTCCTTATTGTCTGTTTCTCAAAAGACGATATTTTTTTAAAAGAAAAGTAAAAGTTATTTTATTTATAAAATATATAATTATTATTCTGTAATACGAAAATTTTGCTAATATACTAATCGTAACGAAGTAAGCGATTACATAGAGGAGAAAATTAATAAATGGATTTTTTTTTTTAAAAAAATTAAATTTTGTAAACAGAGTGATATGATAAGAAGAAATAAATATCATAATTTTATCTCTTTAACGAGTAATTTTATCTCTTCAATCAAGTAATTTTATCTCTTTAACGATAACTTTATACCACAGTCCAAATGGGACTCTTCTTATTTCTCTACAATCAAGTTTGTTATAGTTTCTAAAATCTCAGTTTAAATATTATCCAGTATATCTAGTGACATCTAATTTCTCTCTTTTTTTCCCCCTCTCTTCCTCTCTCTCTTTCTTCTTCTCTTTCTTTCTCGCTACTTTGGACATCAACTCAAGCAAGAATTTATAAAATAGAAATATCGCCCTGTAAGAAATGGTTTCTCAAATGTCACAAAATTTTCTTTGCTTTTGACGAAACCATTTCTTGATATATGATCCAAGCAAACACTTCATCAAAAAAGTGACAAATTAACTAACGTCACTTCTTCTCGGAAACGAATTTCGTCAAAATTAAAAAAAATATTTCATCATTCAATTTTCCAAAGAAAAAAATTCTAGTAGTGCATAATGTATCTAACATTTATAATAATCAATATATCGTGGGCACTTTATAGGTTGATCAATGTCACCCCAACAATGTAAGACGAACAGATTGGGCAGAGCGATAAATTACACCTATTTCCAAGCGGGATACGAACCCGGGATCTTCCTGTTACAAGGTCCTCTCTTTGACCGCCGGACAAGATGGTCGGTTAATTTCTTCACTTTATCTTCGATCGAGCAGTCTTCTTCCTAGTTAACAATTTCCCACAATGCTTTACGATGAGGTTTCGAGTTAAGGAAACATTTTCGTCATATATTTCCTAGTTCGCATTTCGTCTCAAACCAAGTGAGTTCATTATGAAATGATTCTCAAAATTAACGAATAACAACTCAAGGATTGCTGAATCGTCAAAAATGAGAATTTTATTTCTGAGAGTGAGGGACAACCAAATAAAATTTCCTCTGTAACAATAAAGGAAGTTTTATTATTTAATACAAAAAAAAGAGAAAAATTCGAAAAAATAAAAGCAATTAAAGTTGCACTTGCGATAAGTTTCGATCAAAATTGAATTTTGCACTACACTAGTAAATATGACTATTCCAATAAATATATATTCAGTAGATTAGTCAATCGAAGATAATATGAAAAACTTGATGAACGAAACGAATCTCGGTACACCGTAGGCTGATAAGATAGATTTTTAGTTGATAATCATTCGAGACTTACATGAAGCAATCGACTAATTAAATCAATTCCATTATGTCAACGTTTGACTGATAAGCATATACTCATTTACTACTAAATATATGTTCACTGGATTCGGGGATAAAATGAGACAGTTTAAAATTTTGGTTGTTGTGGCACATATCCCAAAAAATCAACCAATAGAACTTACTTAGAACTATTTTTGTAATAAATGCATTATACCCTGAAAAATTCCGGATTTCCAAATTATGGTCAAAAGCACTAGTACCCTGAGTGCAGCATTGGTAAAATCCATTTTTCCGTGAAATCCGTTTTTATCATACTATACCCCGTTTTCACTGTAATATTTATTTAATTGCAGTGATTCAGTTATTTTACAATAAATATTACTGTAAATAAATTACGGTATATAAGATTTTCTTTTCTGAAAATTATATGGTAAAAAGAGATTTTACGGTTATCATTATTCGATCCGCAATGTTTTGCAGCGTATTTTTCTTTTCATCAAAATGATTGCAAAAAAAAGTTGAATTGTAAAAAAGAAGGAAAAATAATTATAAAAATATGCATCGAAAATCTTATTTTCTTACCAAAAAAAATTGGGACTTCATTCTGATAGGGTTTTTGATAGTTCTAACTGGACTATGTTTCGAAAGTATTTTTGATTATTTTAAGTGAAATATGTCTAACACAATAAAATTGAAGTTAAGTATATTATAAATATAGGTTTTATGCTTAATTTTAAATTTTTATTTTACGGACATATCCTCTTTTTTTTATATATTCATAAGCAGATAAACCAGAATCATATCAGTTTGGCTTGTTCAAAGGCCGTTCAAAAATTGCTTAATCACCTAACGATGATGAATGCTTGTAATTTTTTTACAATGTGGGGGAAAGGGTATAAGCAATGGCTACATAAGACATCAAAATCCTTTTTTTAAATTTTCGAAAGCACAAAATAATTTTTTTTTTAATGTTACGAAAATGTTTAAAATTTATTTGTTCGTATAAAATTTATTTGTTGTTGCATTATATAATTTTAACGAAATGTTTAAAATGTTACGAAAAATTACGCACGGAAAAATATAAATTAAATTCAAGGAAAGAAAAATTAGAAAAAATATTTTTAGAAGATTTTCAGAGAAAAAAATATTCTTACAAGGAAAACAAAAGGTTACTAATAAATATTCTATTCAATATTTTATAAAAAGAATTGAAACGTATATTTTTTTATGCTTCTTTTATTTGAATTTTATCCAAAAAAAATTAGTTTCATAAAGTTAATCTAAAAACGTTACGATTTTCTTGCATAATCAAGAGAGAGTTTGCGCTTGCCTTATTTTTAGCCAAGAGAGGTGAGGGGATTCCAAAATTGCCAAGAACATGATTAGGTAATATTTGAATGGCCTTTCAACACCATCTAAAATAAGGTTCAACGTTTTACCAAATAATTGGTGCCAATTTAGCTGCATCCAATATTATAAGAAACTTGATGCGAAGTTCTAAAAATGTCGTGGGGTTGGAAGAAATACGACTGCTGTTGCAGTTAAACGTTGAACTAAATCAGAAGTGTTTCTTTATGCCCATTTTTCAGTGAGACGGTTGAACCAGGTTCAACTTTTGACAAAATTTTAGGTGAAAGATTGAACAAAGCTTAATGTTTTGCTCATACCAATTTTACAGTGAAAGGCTGAACCACGTTTCAAGCTATAATACAAACTAGTTTTAAAGAAACATTGGTCTAAAAGAAAACATAGGATTTAGTTCAATGTTTAACTACAATAGTGCTTTTGGGAACACCCAGGAACTAATATAGGACCTTTATATAATTAGGAACACCACAGCAATGGTAGAATTTCGCACCAAATTTCTTATATTGGTTGAAAGCTAAATTTACATTCGCTTAGTTAAACATTAAACCATGTTTTTTAAATGTATTTATCCTATTTTCTTTTACGCATAGTCCAGTTGTTTAACGTTGAAAAACATTTTTAAATGCAGAATTTCATAAATTGATCGATCATCAATAATTTAAATATATTAAAAAAAAACATTTTTCATAAGAATAACTGAGGCAATATTATGTATAATAAGTTGGTATTAAATTTTAAAAACTTTGTCTACCTTACAGGTACTGGAATTATTAACTCTGAAATTGTTTTTGTATGATGAAATATTAAAAAGAGGGAGGGGTGATACGCAAAAAATTTTATAATTATTATTCTATTAGCTTAATTGAAATAGTTATTACTTTTGAAGATCTAAATTAGATTTTAGAAATAAATAATTGCTTAATTCAATCAAATATTTTGAAACTTTTGAAATAATCATGACAATCACTTTGCCCCTTTCTTCATCACTAATACATAATCAATTCTATTTAAATAGTAATACTCATTATATGATACATATGCCTATCTCAGTAGTTTTTTTTAATGGTAGACTTAACTAAAAAATTGTAAAAGAACATACGCTTAGTAGGGAGAAAAAAAATACAGTAACGGTAAGGTTATATTTTTTCCCACATTGTACTTTTAATTCTAAGTAATTGATGGAATAAAAACATATTCTTCTTAAATCTGCTTCTTTAATAAGAATTTTAATAAGTAAATAGCAGTAGTTTATCCCTTCCCCTGCAGCTCTGTAATTTTTCATTCGTAACCAAATCGCAATCAAAAGCAAATTTAATTATTCAAGTATTTATGTTATATAACTACAATAGAAAAATATTTAAAGCAGACGGTATGAAGGCAGATTTTACAATAACATAAAGCCCATACAGAAGGAAAAAAAATAGATATTCTTAGCTAATGGCATCATTTTATTACAAGAAACTTTTACAATATGTACAGTAACAAATCATTTACAGTAAAATCAAAAGCCCAATTACAACCATCATGTCAATCTAATATAATAATAAAAATTTTAGAAACAAAATTTAATTTGTTTTTTGAAAAATAGTTCAAATTAACTGTGGCACTAAGTTAAATTTTGTGTAAATATTTCAATTTTTTCTCTGACATAATAAACTGATAAAAGTATTCGAATAAATTTTCTTTTAATCTTACACACCGTCTCAGAAATGTAGGCAAAAATCAGAATTTTTTATAGTTTTGTAAATGAATATTATTTTCTGTCAAATATTTAAGTAAGTGCTTCTTGTTTTTTAACTTGCAAATATTTTTAAAAAAAGTTATGTAATTAAATTAAAAAATTAAAAGTACTTAATTTCATAAAATTTAAAAATAAATGTTATAGCATGTTCCATAAATTTTGAATCTCGAGTCTACTAAAAAATTATTTTTCAAATGTTGAAAATTGAAAATAATCCTTTAATCTCATTAATTTCGTAAATCTCATATAATGCCTTTAATTTGTATTCAGTTCAAGCTAATATTTATTGCGAATTCTCTTAATTTCCTATGGCAATTATTAAAGAACTTTTTAACAATAAATAATTTAAGAAATGAAT